TAAAACGTACGTCCCGACAATCCAGCTCCTGCTGCTTTTAGTAACCTAGAAATCTTCAAGCGTTCTCGTGGTAAACATATCGGTGTAGCCATGGATTCGGGAACGTCATCGTTGTATTCAAATATCGCTATATCGTTGTATCCAGTGCATTCATCGAACTTCTCATGATAAATCACCTGAATACACCAACGTGTCCAATATATGCTGATAAGGGATAGGCTGCATTGAGTGTCGCTTAACAAACCTTGTCTGGCTTGATCCACAACTTCTTGCACATTTGAGGATCTCTGCAGCTCGTACCGACAAATATGCTCCAGCCTGTGTGCATTCTGCGAAGGAAACTGAAAAAGGAGCATGAGGTTAGGCTTCACTCAGGGGTCGACATGCTGCACAATCGAACGGGTGGTTGATTCCACTGCAAAGTTACCGGCCAGTGATGATACACTCGTTGCTGGGAAGTATTATTTCGTAACTTGAAGTGATAGGAATGGCTCTACATATGGACATTGTGTGAGACCTGCTATTTCTTCTGCCACATTCTTCTTCAGTTGCCGTTTTGACATCTGTGGCAAACACACAATGAGCAGCTGTAAGAACGTGACGAGGAGATATGAGTGATCCACTACATTCAAAACCTGCAATAAATAAAGTTGAATCCCTGTATGCTTTTGAAGTCACTTCAGCTGTAACTGCACTGCAGTATCAGGACTTCTTGTTCGTTTTTCTCTACGATTGTATACCTTAGTGTAGGCCTAGGCTCGATCTTCTCCCTAGAAGCAGAAGATTTGTAAATGACCGTAAGAGTTTGAGGGTGTGTCCCAGGATCACACTGATGTGGCTCCTGCACACCTGTGCCAATGTATTAACCCTTTGACGACCGTGTGGCCCGCCGGTGGGCCACACTTTCGCTCGGTGGCGACACGTTTTTAGGGGTTTATTTTGGCATTTTTTATGTTTCAAAACTACACAAATACATCATCGAATTCGCGGAATAATGCGCTAATTACTAATAGTGAAATTGTTGGAGAGTTAATGATTATTGATGAAAAAATTTAGAAAGAAGTGAAGTGACGCATTCATAACGGCGGTCGTCAAAGGGTTAAAGAGGAAAGAGCAAGAAAAAAGGAGGAGAATCCGTCAAAAACGCATAGATTGAGGGCTCACTCCCTTCCTAATCGGCTGTGCCAAGTGAATGAGAGACTATGCGCAAAGAGGAGAGTACACGAAGGCGAAGAGCGCTACAGGATGAGAGAGCGCCAGACAACAGCCTGATAAGAGAGGAAAAAAATCTGCAGCTTTAGCAGCTTACTTTGCAGGGCTCAACCGCTCTTGTCGGTTGGTCTCCCGTGCACGGGAATGCCACATTTGTGATTGTCCTCTAACAATAAGGGTCTATATTAAAGAACGAAGTAAAGCGTCGAAACGACTTCTGCTTGGGTTGTGCCTTTGACGGATCTTCTCTTTCCTTCAACTCAACGGCTGAACTGTGCGAGCCACGTAACAGTGGCTGCAGACCCGTAGTTATCTGAGCGATCTCTTGGACAGGGGATTTCTTTCAGACTATAGCCTTAGGTGTCTGGAAAGCCGTGGGGAAGCGCGCAATGTTCTGCTCAAGCCGGAATCTTGCGCGGAAAATTCTTGCACTCTTTCCTAACATGAATATGTCAGTTGTGATCACTGGAAATAGCACACAAAGTTTCACGCATGAAGATTCGGTTTCTGAAGAGAAACAAACGTACAAAAACTACACGTTATGGACCATCGAAGGACCAGGAGGCAGAGCCAGGCGAGGCATGGAAAGAAGACGGCGTTTGGCCCGGCTACGTACCAGGCGACGCAATGAGAGAATCGGGTTAAAGCGCGCGATTTCGGAGAGTGGAGACAAATCGATCGATGGAATAGGATGGAGTAGAAGTGTAAGATGTGAATGCAACGAAGCAGAAGGCCAGAAAGAGCTTCTAGTGAATGCACTCCAAGAACCAAGTTTGAGCATCCCCGTCGCCAGCATTCGTGAAAGACGTCCGTGGGCAATTCGAACGCGTAGCAGCCTTTTCGAGTTTTCGAATTTCTAATCAAAACGAAAGCAATACTTCGGTCTTTTCACTATTATCGTGGATAATGAGTCTCAAGCCAGTGATTTATGGCTGAAATAGAATCATGATTTTTCCGCGCAAGATTCCTTTAACATCCATCCTGACATAGGCCTTAATCCAATAAGGACGACGTTACGATAGGCACACCGCTCTCCTATTCTTTTAGGCCCTCGCCGACATGTCCGGCAAACATGCTCAGGAAAAGGACGATTAGCAGTCATACTCGCATAATCCATGACATTTATTGCACCCTCACCCGTGAAACGAATTCTGAAATGCCAGATACCAGACGGGAGTCCGCTTGTATAGAAAATGAAAATCATGGCGTAAGCATTGCCAAGCGCCCAGCCAGTCAATGAAATGAACTGAAACAAGTAGATGTACAATCTTACCTCCCAATCTCAAGGCAGCTAACCAGGGATATTGAAATTTTTTGACTTTTCTCCCTCCAAATGACTTGAAAGGGCTGAACAATTTCTGAAACACTGCTGTTCTGAGATCAGATTCCATGCAAAACGTGATTACTTTAGAATGTGCCAAGTTCACCGATGCCACCTTTCAGGTCGTGCCGTGCTTCTTTGAACGGCTTTTTGAATTATCTAGGGGCACGCATATGGATCAAAGAGCTGGGCCTGTCATTATTTGCAAGATTGAATCGTCCCGAGCCAAAGAGGGGATAGCGTCTCCATAGCTTCCATTCCCATTGATAACAAGACTTGTTGCAATGTCGATTGCATTTGTTTCCAGCGGGTGGTTGGTCAAACCGTAGTAGGTTGTTGCGACAAAAAAATAAGGTGGAGATAGTGTGGCGGGCCGCCTGAGTTATTTACCCTTATTTATGAGTCGCAGGCGCCATATCAGGAAACGTCGAAATCCGACACACACCTGCATTTGATGCGTGGAGTCCCCTACTCATCATGCTAAAGCTAAGCGTCTTCAATGCGCGGGGCACAAAACTGATGATGACCTTTAATCTGTGACGATTGATGTGATGGTCTTTGGTCCTCCGACCTCCTTCACCCTATCGTCCTGACTCGACTTTTTAGTAATACACCCACAGATTGTCCCCGTCATACCGCCGGGATCCTTCCCGTTTCGCTCGCAATGCTGTTTCTCCGCTATGGTCCCTTCTTCCTGTGACACCAACACCTGGAAGTGACGCGTATGCAACACAATGGTGTTTCATACAGTAGAAGGGACACAATCATGATATGACGGTAGATTTTTCGCTTCCCTTCCTCATGCTCCCTTCCTCTCTCCACTGCCTCAGCTCCCCTGCCAGTTCACCGGATATGAGAGATGACGGAAGTGGTGCTAGCAGTGTTGTATATAGGCCCTGGAAGACGCTGGTTATCACGAACTCATGTCCGTGCTACAGAACATTTGGAATATCTCTAAGTCCTTGTAAAGCTACCGATTTTCTGGCGGGTTTGGTTGTATCCATGAGCGTTCGCTGTCGTTCGTACTCTCATTTTGCGGATCGTACACACATACATACAAGACCACCAGCCGACACACCCGAGCGACATCACAGGATATCACAGGAAGCCGATCAGACGAAAGTTGCGCGCTTTAGTATAATAGAAGGATATACCGTTTCATTTCACTCATTGTCGCGTTTGAAGGACGAATTGTCAAGGTGTGAAAAAAGCAACCCATTTCAAATTAACCTAGGGATGGTGAGTGGTACACGAAAGAAGGAAGAACCATGAGAAACGGCCCAGAACCCGAGAAATGGTACCCCTTCCTTGCCCGTTGATTCGAGCATTGATGCGACTCTCATCGCTGTGCCCTCTTCAACACTACGCTCTCTCAGCTATCTAATCACTCGCCACGTATTGAACTACGGCGAGTGATCAGATGATCGGTGGGCGGAGATCGCCGGACCCGCCAGCTTTGAGCGCAACGGATACTGGAATCTGCGCGTGGATACGAACATTTTTGTCCTGACCGAATTGCGCGTTCTCAGTTCCGCGACCCTCAGCTGGTGTCGTGGTACGCTCAAGCTAGGTCAGTTCCCTTTTCTTTCGACCCTTCAATTTATAGTGAATTCCTCCTTTAGAGTATCGGCCAACCTCGTACCGACCCTAGAGGGCGCGGCGGCTGGATGGGGGAGGGGAATGGGGATGATCTTTACTGTATTATGGTGAGTGAATTGTGGCACAGTAGTCGCTGCAGGGGGGGAATACGCGCACTCTCTCGCAGCGCGCCTCCACATGACTGACGGAAGTAGTGGTGGTGTACCAGCGTTGTGATCCCTATTAGGGTGCTGATATGATGACGGTGAGGGGGGTCGTAAGTGTTACTGGGCTCAAGCGAGGGTCCTGAGGAAGGCGTGGGACTTCCTCTACACTTTGCGTAACGCCCGGACAGTGCCACTCAGTTTTTCTGCTAGGATCTTATTGGTTGAGTGTTGTGAGGAGGTGGCTCTCATTATGGGAGGTTGTTCACTTGTGGTATTTCTCGCACACTGATATATTCAAGTACATGGAGCTTTACTTGTGAACGATTATGCACTATACTCCAAAGAACTACCTCTACCATGTCCTTCTCTTAATGCCTACTGCGACACTCGTCACCCCTTGCAATCCTTGGCTTCTTCTTTCCTGACCGTATCTCGTCGATACTGCTTTTTGTTGGTTTTAGAGATGCCCTTTCGCTAGATGCAGAGCGCAATCCATTGAACCCTATGGGTTCACCCCATTTTCACTGAAGTTGGTGCTGAACTTCCAGCTCAATGCAGCTTTTGGGTGTGCGCTAGGAAATTGCACAACTCTTGTCGGAAGATCCGTTGGTTAAGCGACAGACCAAAAAGTAATGGCAGAGAGTTAAACCCTAACTACGTGGTAATCGACGGGCGGGAAAGGGCCACTGCGACGCCGGGCTATTCGGGAGAGGTTTAATCGTGTGTGTGTGTGTGATATATCAACTGCGTGTGTGATGCTTTTGGAGACGCTATTTGGAGAGAAATCGAACAGTACACAGGCCAAAAGTACTCAGGCCTAAAGGAATGGTGAGGCTATAGTCTACAATGATTAGCAGAGAAGTGTGTTGTTGCTATTAGAAACGCGATTTTCTGTTGCTGTCGATTTTCATGGTCTCCAATTGCCGACTTCCATCGTAGCCTTTTCGACTAAGCGCTCTTAAGTCACGAATTATTCTTAGGATGGTTTTTCAGCCTAACCGCCTAATCAGCCCCCTGATCAAGATTTTCTTAGTTTACAGTTCGACACTAGGCATGCCAAAGCAGCGGGGAATCATCGAGCCAATAACGCTCTGCATCCCAGTGGTATGTTTGTTCATGTCATGTTATCATCATGACGCAACAACGAATTTTCAGTAGAACGATACAGTAGCGGTCAACAGCTAGTCGACTTGAACCTGAGGGAGCTGGTCCCGATCTCCCAGGAGCAGGATGGGGTTTATGCCAGGAAGATCCACTACGAGGCCAGGCAAGTGATGGAAAGTATCGAGAAAAGCGCCGGCCTTGCTACCTAGCCTTCCTCGACCTGGAAAGGCGTTCGACCGGCTACCGCGAGCAGTGCT